TTTCTTATACTATAAATTCGGTTTGTTTTAAAGCTTTCGCGGACTGTTTACTTCGAGAGGGCGTAGGGAGTGGTGAGGGAGTGTGCGTGTTTTATGTTTGTGTTAGTCTCGACACTCTCCCCGAAATACGTAATGCTATCGATCCTTATAGTAGGTTGCCGGCTAAGAGACCTCGTGTTGTTCACTCAATGTTTCACACGTGCTACGCTATAAACAACCAGTTTGGTCACCCGCGCACTCCGCACTCAGAATCCTAGCTCCGCACTACGCACTACGCACTACACGCTCCAACCATCCTCAATACACCTACTTACTCAATACACAATCTATTTCACTAAATTAATCATAAATTGGCACTAGATTTTGTACGTTGAATTATATTTTAACACCTTAACATTAGTGGCGATTTAATTTTTTTTTAGGTACGTACTTACAATATATTTACTAATTAGTCATGCGCTAGTGTTTACAAACAGGTTACGTTTATTTTTTAAATATTTTTCACACATTAAAATTCAGCGAAATGCTTCGCTAACGGTGGCACAAATTTCGCGCGCATTTAACAACGGATCGACGTTACGAACTAAGCTATCTAAATTATTTTAACACCGAAAGCACTTAATATTTACACAGAATAAATGATCACGTGACGACGACAAACGATGACTGTACGCACAAAAGAAACACACGACAACACGAACTAAATTAGGCAACAAATTTGCCGTGTTCTCGTCTATATGTCTACATGTCCACTAACCTAAAATTCCCTCCGAGTCCCTTCATAGCGTACGCTATGGGGAGTTTCGCATCTTGATACAGGCCTCCCTTTCGCTCTCCCTCGCAGAGATATTTAGCTACGCAAGTAAATTCGCTTGTGCGCGCTTGATTATTACGAATTTCTTGTCTCACGTTGTGTTGTGTTAGATATTGTATTGTTCAAATGTTTTATACGCGTTTACATTTTACCGCACGCTCAATAGTATAACAATTTAATGTACTGATTAAAATTTAAAACAGAAAATTAACATTAGAATTAAATTTGATTTTTTACCTTACTATGAAATATTATATTATACTTATAGTTTTAATATTAGTATCAAATAGTATTTTAGTTATTTTTTTTATTTTAATATTCGATTCTGAATATTAACACCTTTTTTTTTCAATTATTAAAAGCACACTCAAGCTCACATCAGGCGATACGTCCGAAAAACTTCTCCCTGAATAATTTATCCGACCGATGCTTAGGAGGCAGTCGTAAAACGGAACGCGAAATTCGGTAAAAAGGTCTTCAATGTTTGGTCGGACTATAATTTAGGCTCCGAAAATAGAGGAGGGATGTTCCCCGCCCCTGCGCCCCTCCCGCGTCCTCTCGCGTCCCTCCGCAACCCTGCCGGCGTCAGTTTGGATGATTTTCGCGCATCTCTTAATGGCTGTTTAGAAAAAATATATCCATAGAAGCGTGGAGGGTCTCGTAAAGAATTTTTCGTGGCTTGTTCTAAAACAGAAAATTTACAATTCCCCCGGCTTTCTTACTTCGTTCGATATATTAAAATGTGCCTTGAGATTTTACTCGGTTTGTTCCTTGTAATGAAACATTAGATTAAAGCTTTATTATTACTTTTGGTAAGATTTTAATAATGAACTAAATATAGGATTTTCTTGAAATATTAAAAAGTAAACATTTTAATGTTTCATCCTGCTTACTTGCAAGGGCAAATGGATTATAATTTTACTTCGAAGGATTTTTTTGTTTATATTTTTTTAAGGATAAAGGTCGATAGATTATTTTAGTGATTTCCAAACTAAATCAAGTCTCAATCGCCAGATCATGTTCTCAATGGTTACTGTTGATGTTTTGAGTTTATTTCTTTTTGTCAATTTTAATATGGTTAATAGGTAAAATGAACTATTACAAATATTGTTATCTTCAAAAGGCATTCAATATTGTTTACAATTGTAGCAAAGATAGTGAAATATTAATTTCCATTATTTTAATTAGTTTTGTGTTCCTCTTAAATGCACAAAACAGTACTGAAAATGTTTTTGCCTAAATTAAAAAAGGTATAAAATCACTTAAAGGCCTACGACATAATAAAATATTAAAATGCTACGTGACCTGTATGTAACAAGGAAGGTTTGCTGAACATTTTGTTGGCTTTATTAGGAAAATTTTCAGGTCCCTTTTACAACGTTTACGCTCAAGTACTTTTCAAACTTTACGGGAATAACCTCTCGTTTTTTTCTTCACATAAAGCTTTATAAATATAAAAAGGAAAATATTTTAATGAAGTATAAGTTTTAATGTCAGTAATTTATGCCTTTAGTTAATATAAATTATATTTTAAATCTATTTATCAATTTCAAAAGATTCAATTATTTTAACTCCGTAAATAGTACATAAATATATCATAAACTTTTTTAAAATAGCTTTTTTTTGCTATGACTACATATTTACTATATTAAAATGATTATTTTACAAATACTGGTGTGTTTAAAAACATGTTTCTGCTACGAGTATTTGATACGTAAAGTCGTAGCAAATACTCGTAGCTCGTAGCATTATTATTTGCCGTGAAATTACCGAAACATGACATTGTTTTAGCGTTTAGATTTTGTGTTTTCGACATAATTGTGTTTGCTTTAAGCGACAAAATTTAGCCTACGCTTTTCATAGAATAAACATCGATTTAAATAACAACAAACACAAAATTTAATAAGTCATTTTTTATTAAAACAGACAGATGTTTGCATTTAATATTGACCGACTACCTAAAAGAAAGAGGTATCTAATTCGTCTGTATGTCTTTCTATGTGTGTTAGGCGATACCTTGCGTAGTTAAATAGTTTAGCTCCAAATCGCGTGACGAAAATTAGAGTCTGTTTTGCTTTCTTTGCTTACGTAGCCTAAACTATAAGACTTACATAGAAATGACGTGTGAAATTATAGCCCTTTAAATTTGCTAAAATGACCGCGATAGCATATATCTGTCTATTAAGGTTGTCGCACAATAGTTACTTCGAGATCCGTTCAGCAGTTTAGGCTACAAAATCTAACAAACATCCATCTAAACTTTCGCATTTCTGAATGAATTTTCAATAAATTAAAACGTAAAAAAATTTCATAGAGCTATAAGTTCTAGAATATTAGACAAGTAATAACTTAGAACACTAACGACATAGACCACAACGCGACATGACCTAAATTGATGTTAGCGGTCAATTAATTTCACATAAACTTGAACTTAGTTACTATGTTATACTGAAATATGTTGCATATTAGATTCTGATAATAAAAATTATATATTTAAAACACACTACATATCAAATCTACCTTCATAACATAACAACAAAGGTTATTTTTACACTTTAACAATTTTTTTTAATGAACAAAGTTATACTTACTCTTAGAATAGTGGAAAAATTACACAAGTAATACTGTTAAAGTAAAAGGGTGAGTGAGTTAAGAAAGGATGTCTTTGACCTCTGAGATTGACCTCACGATTCTTGGCGTGAATCTGTCTTTTGTACAAAGTATTGTAGGATTTACGAATTTTTAAAACGTTCCTATTAAAGACATAAAATTACGTTTAGTTGCAAATATATTGATAAATAATTACATGAAAATTAAAATCAAACAGTTAATTTATGGACATTAAAAAATGAGGATAAATAAAACATAAAAAATTTGTCAAGTGATTATTAAAAGACAGAACAGAATAACTACTTAATTACTTAACACTAAGGTAATACTTAGACTAGATTATCTGTATAGTAAAGCAATAAAAAATATATCCAATGACGTCAGATGTCAACAGAATTGGCGCCGGAGCGGCGTCGATTAGTCAGTGACCCTCCGCCTCATCTCCAGTGAAGAGTACTCCAGCCTACCCTTATTGACAGTTTGGACTTGCGTCACATCCAGGTAGGGATGAAGGACGTTTTGTCTATATCACTCAACGTTCGGATTAATATTGTAAATGCGAATTAAATTCTGTTTTAACGCTTTACTCCATTTTACTTAAATACTTGCTCTAACACAGTAATAATAAACCTTTATTAACTAAAAGTAAATTCCAGAGTAGCTTCTTAATATTATAACTGCGAAAGTTTAGATGGATGGATGTTTGTTAGAGTTTGTAACCTAAACTGCTAGACGGATCTCGATTTAATTTGACATAAGTGTAGAGCATAGTCTGGAAGAATACATAGACTACTTATTTTTGTTCTTTTAATTCCACGTGGACGGAGTCGCGGGCGATAGCTAGTTATTAATAAACCGGTACGTATCACGCTTCTGTCTTCGATATCCATTCATTATATTCTTTAACAAGATTGGTGTTTTGTACCTCGAAGAAATTCTCATTTTACTTCGTTTGTATCTGTTTTTCTCGTCCAGATATTAAGTAGAGTTGCGTGAAGGGAGCGATGCTCTCAACAAAACGTTGTGCTAACAACATTGTGGGTATAATGACGGCAAACGGCTTCCAAGTTAGTAGGCTCCGGCGTCCAATAGCATTATAACGGTGTTGTTCTTTGGGTTCAATCACGGTCCTTTGTATTTCTGCGCGATTAACTTCCCCCAAAAGGCTACAAATGGCCTGTCTAATACTTCTATCTGCCAGATACCAGATTAAAATGTTTATCGTTATGACAGAAATAAAGTTTGTTATAGAAATAAACGTTAACATTACAGATTTTATAACTTTTACATTCTCTTCGTTCTTTATTTTATACCGTTACTAACCAAAATCAGTATCAAGTATGTTTTATACGATAAAGTACAGTATAAGATTGTAATATAATAAACAGTAAGTAAATATTATAACAGTAAAGGCAGTTCTTAGTTGATAGCATACGACCGCCTTGGGAATAGTAAGTTAAGCGTCTCTACTAAAATTATAACTCCCTGC